CGAACAACGGCGAGATGCGCAGAGCTTTTTAATCATGCACATATCTCGAATAACCCACAAAAACGCTCACGATCCGACACGCATGGCAGTACACGACTTGCGCCACAACTGAGAACACCTAAGTTTGGTGGTAATAACACTCTGATCGCACTCTCTTCGGCTTGTCAATATACAAATGTGTGCAATATATTGCGCCTACACACCCGGGGAACTCTTTTCTCTCGAAGTCGTTCTACATTTCCTCGAACCGTTGTCCTATAGGGAACTATACCAGGTGGCTGTATTCTTGGATGATGGTGTCGACTACTTCATCGCTCCTGAACAAAGCACTGGCAAGGCCCATGCCCAAACTATGGGAGGACTGCCTGTAATAACCCCTTGTAGCTCATCTCATTAGCGCATGCAAATTTCTGCGTGGCGGGTATTGGCAATCTGAAATTCATGGGCGACTGTTGGATATTCGGGCTGATTCGAGCAAGAATCTCGAAGAAGAGGGGCCGTGGAAGTTGGCAAAACCGCAGGAAAACCTTGTCGTGCCTGACCCCCTCGTGTTGGAGGTCCTTCCACACACAACCGCTACGCTCCAACACACACAAACGACGTTTGTTGTCTATTCCCCTTCCCATCTCCTCCGCTGCCAACGATCCCAGCGCAAAAATGTGCAACATCCCTTGCGTAAGAAGTGTTAATGCAGCGGAAACGTTCTGGAAGAGAAAAGTCGTCACCGACATTGCCTCGACGACCGCCAATAGTGAGACAATCCGTCTATTCACCCGCTGCAGGGTAACGAAAAGGAGCATGAACATTGCATCCTGAAAGTCGTCATTCCACGTCCCACCTCCCGACGGATCTATGGCAGCAGTGTCGTCCCGTAGTAAGGGGACGGCCCGTCCTTACTCTCGTACGACCGTGCATACGGGTCCTCAGCGCCCGTACGGCCCGTACGTACGGACTTTGGGCCCTCCATAGGTGGCCTTCAGGGGGTGTTGAGGGCATCTGATAGGCCACGGGGGGTTTCCCCCCATTCTGAAAAAAAAAAAAAAAAAAAAAAAAATTTTTAACTCCGTGACTCTGGGTGCAAAAAAAAAAGGAAAAAAAAAAAAAAGATTGATTGATTGATTGATTGATTGGTTGATTGTTTGGTTGATTGGTTGATTGGTTGATTGATTGATTGATTGATTGATTAATTGATTAATTGATTGATTGATTGATTGATTGATTGATTGGTTAATGGATTGATTGATTGATCGTAAAATACAAAAACAAAACAAAAAAAAAAGAAACCAAAATCCATGCAAAAGATTGATTAATTAATTGATTGATTGATTGATTGATTGATTGATTGGTTGATTGATTGATTGATTGATTGATTGGTTAATGGATTGATTGATTGATCGTAAAATACAAAAACAAAACGAAATAAACAAAAACGAAAATCCATGCAAAAGATTGATTGATTGATTGATTGATTTGCTGTGGAAGGGTCACCTCCCCCCACAAATACACACTCTCTCTCTCTCTCACACACACACATACACACACACACACACACACACACACACACACACACACACACACACACACACACGCGCGCGCGAGAAAATAAGCGTGTTAGTCTATATTTCCATGTTCTAGCGGTAGTTTCATTCTACTTTGCTCATCCAATCGATGGAAGTACAGTGAGGCCAGCTGCGAGGTTGGATGCTTACCCTCTCTCTCTCTCACGCACACACACACACACACACATTAAAAAAAAAAAAAAAAAAAAAAAAAAAAAAAAAAAACCGGGGGCAACAGCTTGTGGGTCACAATCAACGTTCGTAATAGGCAAGAAAACAGTTGTCAGGAGGTCAATCCCGAACTTAGTTCAAAACGGCATTAATAACAGTGTCTCGCATGGAATCCGCCCTGCCTGGCTGGCAGGGCACTACAGGACCTCACAACAAAAAGCAAACAAAAAAAATGACATGTCTCACGGTCCTCACGTACTGGCCAGATACATTCCTCAAAGCACTGGTGTAACTTCCACCTACATGAGGGTCTTCCCCATGGTGTGGATTCATAGTTCCCCGTTTCTTTCTTTTTTTTTTTTTTTTTTTTTTTTT